TGTGTTGTCCCCCCTTTAATAAAAAACAACAACAACACCAACGTACCATCTGTTCTAAGTATTGCGAGAGTATTGTGTCGTGAGATCAGTATTGTGTATTGATCTGAATCGTGACATGAGTGTAGTGTTACATCCCTATTAAAAATGCATGTAAAATTCTGTTGTTGTTGTTTTTTTCTTCATATCCAGCAAGTGCAGTAAATCCTTTTCTTCAAAATCACAAATAATACATATCATTGATGAATTAGGTGTTGAATACTCACATAAGCCGGAGGGATCGCAAATTCAGAACGTTCTGGTAATTAATGACGAGTCTGAAAAACAAAATATTTTATACATTCAAGAGGAAAACATTGAAAAATATTTAAATGTATACTGGTTTCTGCTTGATTATGATCCTGACCTTGACAGTGTTTCATTGCAAACGGAACCAGCCGTGAAGTCAGCAGAAGCATTAAAAATGTCTCTTGCCAGATCATCCTGGTTCCCAGAGTAACGAGCGAGGAGAGTGTCGGCCCAGAGCAGGATGCAGGGCTGGCCCGCTGTGTTGTTGACGACGAGTGGAGGTTTCACAGATGACTGTGGTGGTGCCTGAAGTAGCGACCGGCCCACAGAACGTCCTGCCATTACTGGGGTCTCCTCAATGACCTACAAAAGAAGGATAAATGACAAAAAACTATTTTGTTCAGGGTTTCATCAAAGCTGTCGTGGATTTATCATCTCAAATGAAGAGGAACATAATGTGAGAGAACAAACTGCAGTACATACTAACTTGTCCTTATGATTTTCCTTATTTGGATAAAAGCATCTGCGAAATGAATAAATGTCAAGGTAAGGTAGATGTGAGCACTTACTCTAGAGGGCTTCAGACCAGTGTATACAGCAGTGTAAGGCTCATCCTGAGATTTGAACACATCGAGGACCTCTCCAATGATCGCATCTAATCAGAAAGAAATCTTACATCCTATAGTATAGTACAACAATACTGACAAACACATGGCATCAAGTTAGGAAGAATTAAACCATAAAAAGCAATAAACAATCAAACAATTATATTAAAATAATTATCTAATCTAATAAAAAAAAAAATTAACTACTCACCATTTTTCAAAAGCAATTCCTTTGTCTGATCCCTGACATTCAAACAAAGCAAAAACAGTGTTATCTTTGTATCATTAATATACTATTATAGTATTTATTAAAATGTAAATTACCTTTAATTTTTACATTTTCTTTTTTTTAGATAATTTTGTTGTGTGATTGTCATTTTCATTATTTTTTTGTTTTTACATTTATATTTAGCTTCCAGTGATTTTCAGTTTTTAGTTTTAATAATTTTAGTACTTCAACTTATTTTGTACTTTAACTAACTTAAACTTATTTTAAGTGGTGGCCAAGGAAATATTTGTAATTTTCTGCTTCAGTTTTCATCTAATATTTTTACTTTAAGTTAAGGGAAGTTAACATTTTAACATTATTATTGAAATTCAGAGTGCCTTGCAAAAGCATTCAGACATTAACCAATTGCTTCACGTTACTGAAATTTTGTGCAAAACTTTGAAACAGAAAATTTATCATTTTGGAATTACATTGTTTTATGACTCCCCCCTATTTTAAAATGAATCATTTTGGCATCACATTGTTTTATATTTAATGCTATATTTTAGTCCCTGTGCTGCAGAAAGATATCGAGATGAAAAACATGAAAGTGCCTTATAACCAATACATTGGTTAAGAATCTGAACACTTTTTGTAAGACATTTTATTCATAAAATAAATAACATTACAGAACATCTTACCCAGCAGTGTAAGGGAGATGGACAGCCAGCAGTGAAGGCTGTGCGGTGTTCAGCTTGATTTCCTTCAGGGTGCTGAGGTCGATGTGGACTGCTGGGATACCCAGCTCTCCCTGGAAGAGTTCCAGGATGGAATGTGATGCAGACCAGTCCAGGGCTGGCAACACCAGGGGATTGGAGGACATCTGAAGTGCTGACTTGAATACCAAGAGAGAAATGTTGATGAGAATGTTGAGAGACATCTAGTTGTGCTATCCCTCCTGAATTAAAGGGGTCATATGATGCGATTTCAAGTTTTCCTTTCTCTTTGGAGGGTTACAAGCTGATTGTGCATAGATAAGATCCCTGAAGTTGCAAAGACTAAAGTCTCAAAACCAAAGAGATATTCTTTATCAAAGTTAAGACTCTGCCACTCCCAGACTCCCCCCTAAAATGGCTCGTTCTAACACACGCCCCCACATATCTACCTCACTATGTGGAAAATAATTGCATAATGCCACCCAAATGTCCACGCAAAGAAAGAAGGCGTGGTTTTAGTAACCGCAGTTAGTGTTGAAGCAGCATGTCAGGGAGACACTTGGTGTTTCTAGGTGAAAGCAAAAGCACTTTATTTGGCCTTCCGAAAGTAGATGCATTTAGGAATCTTTAAGATTACTT